TATAGATATAGATAGTTGTAATAATTTTGTGTATGAAACAAAATTGGTGCATTGAATCTTCAGAAAGCAATGGCTCACTATCTCAGCCAACCCTGTGGGAAATTATGGATTTTGGTATTTGGTATTTAATAAGCCTCGGCACTATAAGAGGGTTTCACAAGACCAGTCACTCTCATTGCAATGGTGTTGTAATAGTGAGGCCGTGGACCATATTTTAGTTATTGCGGACTACTGGTGGTCCACAAACCACAGGTTGGGAACCGCTATCTTAGATGGATTCATTAAGAAAGAGGGAAGGACTCAATTTATTGGAGAGATCAGGACCACCTGAGTCTTTTGAACTATTTTTATTCCAACTGGTTGTTACATAAATTTTCTAATTAAGAACGAGTGCCCAATTTTGGCTGACCTCTGCCTCTTTTCCTTTAATCTTGGCTCTTTTATCATTTAAGCTAGAGCTCAAGAACTGTCATCAGTCACTCTGATGGAAGTCTTTTTCCATGGACAACTTGATGTGGAAGTGCTTCAAATAAATACATAATAAGGTGGGTGGGAATCCCAAAATTCAGTACCAACCTGGATTGGGCTCACAGCTGGGTGCTTCAGTTCAATCATCCTTTCCCCATCGTCCTGAAGAGTATTCACATATTCTTCCTGGTTAAGGAGCTCATTATTCTTGAAATCCTGCAGGACAGAGGAGCACCATGCATTTGCATTTCAAATGGAAAGAAATCTTTTGGTAGTGGTGGTGGTGGTGAAGTAATGGGATAGATTTTCAGGGGAGAAGGAGCATTCAATAAAGTGGTCCAATCAACTAATACTCGTCTAATTTATTTTTATTTTGTTTTGCTAAACAGAAGTCAGTGTGACGGGGAAAACTACTAACCAGATTCTCATATAAAAATGCCAAAGCATAGCAAATGTGCAAGTAGGTGTCAGTGTTAACAGATCAGTCAAGTCAATTTCTTTTTTTTGTCATCCCCCCCCCTCCACAATAAAGCAACTGAAGCAGATGTCTGTGGAGGTCCTGCTCTTGGTCCCACCTCCTTTGCAGATACGACTGGTGGAAATGAGAGACAGGGCCTTCTCAGTGATGGCCCCTCATCTATGGAACTCCCTCCCCAATGAAATTAAATCAGCCCTTTCTCTCCTGACCTTCAGAAAAAAATTAAGATGTGTCTTAGGGACCAAGCTTTTCACAACTAATTTGGAACAGTGCAAGAAGTGGTTATGAATCAGTGTGATTGACAAATGGAATGGCCCTGGATTATGATTTGGGTAGCATGATTTTAATTGATACTTAATAATTTATCTTTTAATTGTTTGGTTTTTAATTGTAATTGTTTATTTTAATATATGTGTGTATAGTATTGAATTGCTGCCTGTTGTAAGGCCGTACTGAGTCCCTTACGGGGTGAGAAGAGCGGGGTGTAAATATGGTAAATAAATACGAAATAAAATACATAAATTCATTATTGGTCTCTCATCAAAGTAGTAACTAAATGTCCTGAGAGCAGAGCTCTTATCTGCCATGGCAATATCCTATCAGATCCTGGAGCTTGGAGATTGCCATTCATCCTCAGCAATATGGAAAGTATCCTTTACCTCATACTCCCGCCGCAGCATCTGAGGATCGATCATCTGGTCACTCCAGTCCTGCTTCAAGATCTTATTTTGCTGCTCAGTCAGGTAACCCAGCTCTTTAGTGCAGCCTTGAAGGTGTGTGTAGAGGCTGCCTAAGCTCTGGCCTCGCCAGATAGAAGCTTTCTGTCATGTTAGAGAGAGAACATGTAATGGTTTTTATTTAAAATTTCTACCGTCTTTTTTCCAGCGTGCATGATGCTTTACAATTCTGCAGCTCATAGTGCCACTGTAGCCCAGTGAGGTAGTTTAAAATGTAGAAAGATAGAGAAAAGCCTAATCAACAAATCTATATGATGTGAGGAGGGGCCCTTCCAGACAGGCCCTGTAATATCCCAGGATCTGGTCCCATGTTTTCTGCTTTAAACTGGATTACCGTATATGAGTCTGCACTGCCAAATAAATAGAAAACCTGAGATCAGATCCTGGAATATTGGGTCTGCCTGGAAGGGCCTGAGAATGAATGACGTTACTGCTGGCTTTCCACATTTGCAGATTTGACTTTTGGATATAATGGGGTGTATAGGCAGGTTATACAATTGCCTTTGCATTCCTGATTCTGGAATTCCAAAGACATTTCCATTTCCTGGGAGGAAGTGTAAGCATTTTGTATGGTTTCCAAGGGATGTATAAGCTTCGTATCAATAGTACTTTCCCCCTTTTCATTTTAGTGAATCTTTAAATGCTTCAGAAATCTCCCCATCTGGGCTGGAACATCACAAAACATATCTCACTTTCCCAAACACATACTGAACTCAACAATTTAACAGATCAACAAATTTTCCGAATTGATGTTTATGGAACAAATAGAAAACTGAATCATACCAAGAAATGAAAAGAAAATATTCTCACCAGCAATTCCTTGTATTTATCCTTTAAACCAGCTGCTTCCTGTTTGGAGATTGGGGGAGAAAATATGCATGTGTATAAACAGTCAATATATGTAAAACAATAATTTTAATAGAGTACAAAAAATGTGCTAAAACAACCCTAAAATAATAAACGTACTTGCAGAGAGTAGTCAGGGCTGACACATATAGCAGAGGAAAGAGTTATTTTAAAACCAATTCTGATTTGAAATGGTCTTCTGGTTTTACATTCAATATTAAAGCTATAAGGATTCATAAAGAACATGATACATAATTAGGTGGTGGCTGAACGGAGGCCATATTTAAAAGTTTATGGGTGTTGCAAAGACATCCACACATCATTTCCTGTCTAGTAATCTTTCTAGATAGGATTTACTTAAAGCCCTGGGTTGCATTGCAGTTCTTTCAGTGGTTGACCTATGTGTAAATTCCCCGGAGGGGTCTCTCTTTTTTATATAATACATTTGGAATGATTTGGAACACAGAAATCAGCCTGAACTGGCCTTCCTCGTTCTCCTATGTAATGGAGAAAGCACTGTAGTGTCTACACACCTTTGCTCATTGAGAACTTTTATCAAGAGCAGCAGAAAGAGAATTATCTCACGGTTGTGCTGAGCTCCTTGAAGATAGAGTCTCACTAATCCAACATAAAAGGGCCGGCAGAACGTTGGAGAAGCGAAAATGTTAGACAATAAGGAGAGATTAAAGAAAAGCATATTAAACGTCAAATTATGTTATGATTTTACAAATTAAGCACCATAACATCATGTTTTACAACAAATTGACAGAAATAAGCAGTTCAATACATCATAACATTATGTAGTAATTACTGCATTTACAAATTTAACACCAAAACATTGCAATGTATTGAAACAGCTGTGGATCCAGGCGGAAGGCAGACTGCGTTGGACAACACAGAACATTGGATGAGCAAAGGTTGGATAAGTGAGACTCTACTGTATTCAGAGCCTGAGATTGTAATAACCAAGTTCCCTCAAGTCACCCCGCTAAATATTTTTACAACAACTTGAAAAATGTGGTGTAATTCACCCTTTAGATGGCTGGACTGTGTCTCCAAATGAAGGAATAAGATCCTGGACAAGCTCACGCTTTAGATTCTTTGACCTGATATATAATTTGAGAGCAGGTTTTGGAGCCAAAACTATGGATTTTGATATGACCTGAAGATAAGTTGAAGGTCATTCTGCAGAGAGGGGAAAGCATCAGGCACTAGCATTTCACTGTTCAGGTGGAGAGAGCAGAGTGGGTTGGTGCCCCTTTTCTACAGTATATTGGAACTTCATCCCAGACATATATGCTGCCTAAAGTACAACCATAAGTGACAGAGGAAATGCATCTGAAGAGAGTGACTTCAGAGAAAAACCAAGAATAACCTGAAATGTTAGAAATCACTTTAATAAGCTGAAAACAAATGGGAGTTGACTTGTTTAGAGGAATTTAATGCTTTTTACTGGCTTTGTTAATGCACCAGTGCATATGATTAGCCTGCTTAATGGAGATTCTTCAGGGTGTGGTGTTGAGTCATGACACAAAGGACATCATTAGGGTGCCTTAGCACGCCACCGTTACTCAATAGGAAAATCTAAACACGCTTTGGCCACTTAAGGCTGACCAAATTAACACATTTTTGGAATGCAAAGGAAGGCAAAAGGCCATCTTACCTGACCACGGAGGTTCTTAATCTGGAGGCCATATGCTTCTATCTCCTTCTGAAGAATGTTATGCTCAGCTATCTGTTTCTCCAGCTCTGGCAAGGTAGGTCCATATTTCCCGGCATTGACTTGTTTCTGCAACAAACCCAGACATATGCAATTTTAGAGTAGCTCAACTGTAAGAAAGACCAGACAGCTCCTGAGATCCCCTTCCTCAAGCACGGTGTGCACTTAAGGTCTAATATCAGTTCTTCACCTCTACATCGTCTTTGCCATACCAGACACATAAAACTGCTATCCTTCCTTTGTGGTGATACCTAAATGGTCAGACTGGGGCTTTTGCACCACTAAGCGTACTCGCCAAAGGGCTGAACGAGCCTCCCACCCCAGATTTATTCTGTACTTCTATCCTTCTTCTTCCCTGACCTGGCATTCATTTCCTTCTCTCCTTAGTCCAGGGATTTATAACAATGGCCAGGAACAAAATGTGGATGCATGGTTTTCTTATCTGTGGTCCCTGGGAAGCTTTTATTGGGCAATTACCCCAAAATAGAATAGAACAGCTTTATTGTCACTGTACATTGTACAATGAAATGAAATGCTATTCCCAATACACATTATATATGTAGCATTACAAAAACAAAACACGCATCCTTCCACAGCAATTTGGATGAAGTGTGCACATATTGATGTGTATGTATAAACATAGATATAGGCAATTTCACTACAATTTAAATAGCTGTATGTCAAAATATAGCGAAGAACAGTGTGGCCACTAGTCCCCTGTGTCTGCTCAGCCTACAGTTCAAGGGGCTCATAAGAGATGATAGGAAGCTTCCCAGCTTCTGCTCTCCTTGGTCCTTACCCTTTAAATTGTTCTTGGATGGACAGTACTTCAAGCAGAGAATCCTTTCAAAAGGAGCTCCCCTTAAACAGGAAGCTGCTCTTGGTGAAATAGGAGACACAACTACCACCCTCTTGTAGCCTCAAGAGAAAAGCATGAAAGGCCATTCCAGTGTTGTTGTCTGCTAGTGCAACTGACCCACTCCCTTCTCCCGGGTATGTGGGGTAAAGAGGATGTTTTTAAAAAGAGAGTATTGCTCAGCAGCTACACAGATTCTAGTTCTTCCAGATTTGGAGCCTGGAAAACAAAGTCTTCCTCTTTTAAGCTACTTCAAGATATTGACACTTTACAAATCCTTCTTCGTACATTAGCTGTGGAGAACAATTGAAACGCACAGAGTCACTTCTGCAGTAATTCCCTTGGTAATGGTGATAGCAAAAGTGTATGATTGTTAGATAGTATTACCACGAAAAGAAAAAGAGAAAGAGATGCATTTGGAAGTTTTTATATAAAATAAAGACCATCATTTTAACATACTGGATGTGTTTCTCTTTTCCCTTCAAAGTGAGATAGCAAATCAACCCTGGGTTTTAATATGAAGAAGAGACCCAGTCCTCTAACTTGTTTGGGGGTAGAGCCCAGCACTTGGGGTAACTCCTTTAACATTAACAGCAGATTCACTGTCCCATTGACATGGAAACCATTAGCTGCCACTTTCAAGGTGGGTGCTATGTCTTTTTCAAAAGAACTGCAGAGGTTTTATGGTAGGACCGAGGATGCTCTCATCCACATAGTAAAGATCAGGCACTGAGGTCACATCTATGTGCCTGAATGTCCAGTTTTTCACCAGAAACAGCCTTAGACACAAGTGAAAGTAAATAAAAAGGCTTTATTCAGCCAAAATAAAACTAATGCAAGAAAGTACAGTCCCGGTGGTAATGTGCTGTCTTCAAACAAAAGTCTTTGCATCAGACAGAAATTAGAGTCTTTGATAAACAAGCTTGCAGGTCGCAGAAACAAACGTCGATAGCCAAGAGCCTTCAGCAAGGACTGACACTGGAATAGAGACACGGTGCTTGGAACAAGCACTCCCCCAAAGTAGGTCAGTTGCTGTCAGAGCTGGGCCCCTGACTTCATTGCTAATCTATAGTCCCATGCTCCCAGCATGACTGCCTCTAGGGCACGGTCTGATTGCTCAGTGTTTTCACTGCTAACCTAGCTGATCTCCTTCTGACTTCTTTCTCCCTACGTCGTTCCTGAAATGTGGGGATTTGTGATAGGTCTGCCACTTCTTCTTCTGCATCAAGGAATGAGTACATATTTTAGGATGACATGTGCTTGCTTGCCTACAGATCTAAAGCATGAAGCATCCTTGTGGCAAGAATCAAAAGCCAAAGCAAACAAAAATACACTGGATGAATTAGCCTCCATATATGAAATTTTCAAGCTCCTGTTCAAATTCTGTGCCATGAAAGCTCCTCATAAAGTCAGCAAAGCAGTCTCCTCTGGGGAAGAAAGCCCAACGAGCCACTTCCAGTTCAGGAAATGGCTGTGATGAAATATGAGATGTTGCTGCCGTGGGCAGTGCAGAAGACAAAATTCAGAGGTGTGCACAAGGCATGTATAACCACAGCTACTGACGTCATAAAAATCATGGCTTTTAGTCATCTTTGTGTATACATACTGAGCATTCGAATCAAAGATAATTGTGTCCTATCAGTAACCTTTACCTGCTTTTGCTCAAGAATTTTTGGCCAGTCGACTTTGGACGCTGTTTCAGGAAGCGTAAACTTCTCGTACAGATCCCGATATTCAGTGCACTGGCGTGTCACTCGCTCATGGAGTTGCTTGATGCTTTGCAGGAAAGAAGCAAGAAGGTTTCTTTGTTAGAAAATAAAGTTGTCCAAAGAAGACTTCCCCAGAAAAACTGAATGAAGTTGCCAAGATCAAGATCTCAAACTCATTGCAGGTATTAGGCAGTCACACAAAGGGGTCTCCCTATATTTAATGAAAGGCACGTTGGGAAAGCTCACTCTTTTTCAATTTCCAAGGCTTGTGGGTGCTTCAGACGCTTGGCTTTGTCCACATCTAGGAAAAGATCTTTCAGTAGGGTCTCTGCTTCTTTCAGACTTCTGGCATTCTCCTGCTGGAACTCAAAAGACTTGTTTTGCTGGGAGTTACCAGCATCCTGAAATGAGAAAAGGGCAGGGTGTGGCTGTCAATTATGCTTTGGCATGGCTATGTGATACTTGGTATCTGTATTATTTCCACAAACATTTTTAAACAGTATTTTAAAAATTATAACACATAATTTAATTTACAGAAATTACCACACTAAGAGTTGGAAGCTCCAAGGTGCTGGTCTTTTTTTTTAAGCCAAGCCTTATTTGTGACAGACAGACCTATAGGCTCTCACTGAGAAAGGACAACAACAGAAGCAGATGTTCAAAGGCACTGGACTGGAGACCCAATCTGCCTGCCTTCGTTGTGATCAAACTATTCATCCCTTACATGTTCTGCATCATCAAAATCACCAATACCCCCAAACAATCCTCAACTGCTCCACAGCACTTTGTTTTTATGTTAACTTTGCGGTTTCAGACACAGGGCTTTGATGCTACAGAATCATAGTGCTATGAATCCCTTTGATTTATATGATCTGAAGAGAAACCAGAGGGGAGACGAGGATAGTTGATGCTTATATCTATGGCTAAGCTACATTGGTTTTAAGTTGATAAATTCCTATATATTTGTATTCTATTTTAATAGGACCAGATGTATGTTGTATGTTGTATGATGTGTTTGCACTGCCTGTTTTTAATAAGGCCAACTGGCTAATCAATAAAAATTGTTGTTGAATCCCTTTGAACTACCGTGGTTGCATCCTGGAGAATCCTTGGATTTGCAGTTTGGAGATCACATACACTACAGAATTATAGTGCCATCATTCAATTTTAATTACCATGGTTTCATTCTATGAAATCCTGGTCTTTATAGTTTGGTAAGGCATTGGAGCTCCCTGGCTGAGAAGTCTAAGGCTGGATCCGATCCCAGATTATCTGCTTTGTGCTGGATTATTGTGCCAGATAATAAGGCATAAGAAGATAATCTAGGATCAGATCCTGGGAGTGTAGGTCCAGCCAGAACCTCCCTAAATGGTAAATCCCAGGATTCCAGAGGATGGAAAACCATGACAATTAAAGTGGGATCATAACACTAGAATTGTGTAGTGTGAATGGGCCCCAAGATGGAAATGAGAGATTTGCTCTTTTTTCCACATAACAATTAATTGGCAACTAGATTAGGAATGTTGTATCACACCTCACTAAGAACAATTGTCCCAAAAAGAAAATGTTTTTGACACAATTGAACTATTTTTGTAAGAAAGCCAACACTAAATTGAATTCTTGTGTACCTCTTGAACATTTGGTGTAAACATATTTGTATCTTCACACTGTAACTTTAAGGTTTTCTTTTTAATTGCCTTGTTTGGAGTGTCTCCTGGGGTTTCCTCTTCATTTTCAGGCTATCCTAATCTATCAGTTTCTCAAATGTACCTGCTTCAGTTTGCTCTGTGTTTCAAGAATGTTCTTTTCCACCTGGTCAGCACTTCTTTGCATTCGGGAAATGAGCACGGCCAAGTCATTGCTCCCCGAGGACCTAAAAGCAAGAAAACAGAGAGTGGGTGGATGAAAGTAAAAATGATTGTCTGGAGGCCAAGGCCAAATTAATTATTATTTTGCTAAGAACACTATAGAACTAAAACAAAGCCCATTAACCATTGCTTACTGCAAATCAATAACCACTGGGTTCAAAATACTGCAACACAATAATCAGACTGAAATATAGTTTTTGATCTCTGAGTTTTGAAGGAAGATGGCATAAACTGGGCAAATTGTTTGGCATTACTCTAATTTTATTAGAAAGCATCAAGATCCCTTAACTTTTGATCACGTCAGATTAGATTGTGCATACTAAAATAACTTTGATCTTTGATGTCCCTTAATGTTGTACTTTGCATGTGTAATGTTTGTTGTACTTTGCATGTGTAATGTTTGGGAAATTGAAATAATCATGGTCTTCCAGTAGCAAACAAGATGGAGTTGCCACATATTATGGAGCAGAATGGCAGTGGTCAGTACTGCAGCAAACTCTGGCCTGACATGTGGAAGAACTGTGCTTTTTTGTCTTGCCCTAATGTTAAAGTTTTGAAAGCAAGGCCCCTTCTACACAGCTGTATAAAATTCACATTGAACTGGATTATATGGCAGTGTGGACTCAGATAATCAACTTCAAAGCAGATATTGTGGATTATGTGCTGTAATATTCTGGATTATACAGCTATGTGGAAGGTCCCTAAAATAACCCAGTTTAAATCAGATAATATGGATTTTCTGCTGTGATAACCTGGATTATCTGGCAGTGTAGAAGGGGCATAAGTTTATCAATGAAACATATAGGTTGAAAAAGAAAACACTATAACTCAGTTTGTCCTTTGTTTTGAAGTGATAATATATAGTACACAGTAAGTGAAAAGTATTCTGCAAACCTTTCGGAGAGGGATTTTTTTTTTTTACTGTACATATAGAGAGAACAGAGGCTGCAATAGAAGAGCACTGTCTCATTCTATGAGCATATGGCACTGGTTGTACAAAGGCTGCCAACGCAAATGCTTCCAATTGACGTTTTTTTTGCTTCCTTTGCACCAAAATTCCAAGATCATCCAGATTATTCCTGCCACTATGATTGGATCTACACTGCCATATAATTTCGATGATCAAATCAGTTAATCCTCACTATCTGCTTTGACCTGGATTATATGAGTCCACACTGCTAGTTAATCCAGTTCAAAGCAAATAATCTGGATTTTATATGGCAGTGAAGAAGTTGTTGTTTATTTGTTCATTTGCTTCCAACGCTTTGTGACCTCATGGATCAGCCCACACCAGAGCTCCCTATTGGTCGTGGCCACCCCCAGCTCCTTCAGAGTCAAACCAGTCACTTAAAGGATACCATCCATCCATCTTGCCCTTGGTCAGCTCCTCTTCCGTTTTCCTTCCATTGTGAAGAAAGGGCCTTAATTTTAAAAAAGATGAACAAATACACTATGCCTGAGGTTTAAAGGGGCTGCACAACTGCCTGAGAATAAATTCAGCACATTAAATGGCTCCGTTGGAGCTCAAACTAAGATCCAGGGTGCTCTCACTACCCCCCTGATACTGGAGTTCCAAGCCGTCCCTGTAACCTGTTCTATCGGTCCTTCTTTTCTTCCTATAGGAAATAAAACATATTAGTCTGAGGACAGCTCACAATCTCTTTAAGCAGCAGTGTTGCTATCTGAGGAAAAGCAGCAACAGTTACTATCTGCCTTCCTTGATCAAGATATTTTGGCACCTTATGCAGCAAAACCTGCATCCATCTTGAAGCCTGTCACCCGAGGGCCCTTCTACACTGCCATAAAAATTCCAGATTATCTGCTTTGAACTGGATTCCTGTTTATTTATGCTGTACTTTCTTTGAAAGTAGGTGTTATACTCCAGAAACTTCGTTTTTGTGGCTGCCACAAACTGTGTTGAATTGGTTGAGATTCTATGAGATGTTCGTTGAAAAACTATAGCAAAATGTGCCACTGGATGTCTTGCAAAAACAAAGTTTTTGCAGTTTAATAAACTTGTTCCATGTTTTTATGATGGAACCAATTAGGAAATGGCATTTATAACCCAGGAACAAAAATGGTGTTAAATGGTGTAATCAGTACATGGAAGTAATGATGTTACCTGTACTACAGACTGAGTGCCCTCTAGCCATAATTCTGAAATCCAAAATTCTCCAAAATCTGAAACTGTCCAAATGACTAGCTGAGATAGTGACACATTAGATTCTGATGGCTCAATGTCTACAAACTTTATTTCAATTACAAAATTATTACAATATTGAATAAATTGTCCTCCAGCTATTTGTATAATATGTATAGTAAAAGTAAAGATTTCCTCTGACATTAAGTTTAGTCGTGTCTGACTCTGGGGGGTGGTGCTCATCTCCATTTCTAAGCCAAAGAGCCAACGCTGTCTGTAGACACCTCCAAGGTCATGTGGCTGGCATGACTGCATGGAGTGCTGTTACCTTCCCTCTTGATCTACTCACATTTGCATGTTTTCAAACTGCTAGGTTGGCAGAAACTGGGGATAACAGCGGGAGCTCACCCCACTTCCTGGATTTGAACCACCAACTTTTCAGTCAACAAGTCAGCAGCTCAGTGGTTCAACCCGCTGTGCTACCAGGAGGCCTAATATGTATATGAAACAAAGGGAAGGAGGACCAGCGAGCAGGGAAAGAAAGGTGAGAGAAGCGACAAGCTTGAGACTGTAAATATATATCTACTCTCTCTCCCTCTCTCTCTCCCTCCCTCCCTCTCTCTCTCTATATATAGTGTCCCTGAATGTAACACTCGTGATAAGTGAGGGAACACTATTGCTTTATAGCATAGTAATCATACTGTATATTTTCCTGCTCATACAGGAAGATAGCCATGGTCTCCTGGTCCCACTGCGGATAATGTGATTTTATAGTTGTTTCAATGGTCTTAATCTTGTTTAATGTTTTAATTGAAATGTATTTAATTCTATATTGGATGTATATTGTTTTTAAGGCATTGAATTATTGCCTATGCTTTAAGCCACCCTGAGTCCCCCTCGGGATCCGGAAAAGTGGGATATAAATATTGCAAATAAATAAATAAATAAATAAATAAATAAATAAATAAATAAATAAATAAATATTTGGCCATGTTTCTATTTTATGTTAGCTACATGTTATCAAAGCATGTGAAGTAAAGTTGACAGCAATATGCTATACATTTTAATAGTAACATATTAAAATTTAAAACAATAATGTTCTATGTTCTGAATATAACTTTACCCCCCACTGTTAATCTTCCTTCCACTGCATTGGATGCTAGGCATGCTTGCTAAGATCTGCTCCCACTGCACAATAGGTGATAGTGAAACACAACAGTGAACTGAGCATGCAGCCTGAAGTGTTCTCCAGTATCTTCTTCAAAGGTCCTGTGCAAGAATGTGGTATGTGGTTGGCACACCTTCAGGGGCTCATTGACATATATCACAGTGTGGGAGGCCATTTCATTGGTGACCACTGCATAGCATTGTATATCAGTGGTCCACACTAGCAAGCACTTCATTTTGTTGCTTATCAACAAGCCAAAACTGTGAGGTGCTATTGGACAAGATTCTAAAAAAATAAAAAAAAAAAAAATCCAAGCAAAGTGCAATGCTTCACTGATGTGATTACACTGGATTGCTTCATGTGCTTTTCCACCTATACGGCAATTCTCTTTAGAGCAGCTGATGTCTCAATTCCTGGTTCTCAAGAATCTTTGGAGCCAAGCCAAACATGAGAGAGGTGGCCTGGGAAATTACTTGGGCCTTTTCAACACTTCCAAATTGAAACAACTCCCTAATAGCCAGACCTAGTAGAAACACTCTATACAGAGCTGATATGTGGATGGAGAAGTGATCCAGTTGGACATGCAAGCACAATGGATAGTGATGACTTGCTTGTTGCTGCTAACCTAGTCCAGTGGGACTGGGAGACCTTGGCTATCTCCCTTTATGAGCAGGAATACTATCAAACCGATCACATGAGTAAGGATTTGAAAAAGAATGCCATGATATGGTAGGTTAACTGGAGAGGCATGTGTCAGCAGCCAATTGGCTGAGTGTGCCAGGAGCCAGAGTTCTGATTGGCTGCTGCCTCTGGCTAGCTGCTGAGACCAACGGTTCTAACTGTCATTTTGCTATTTTCTCACTTTGGACAGTGAAGAGATAGTGTTGGCTGCCAACCATCTTGAAGATTGCCAATTATCTTGAAGGAGAGTGTTAAGATCGTCTGGAGAGGCCCTGCTCTCAGTCCCGCCATCTTCGCTGGTGGGGATGAGAGACAGGTCCTTTTCTGTGGTGGCTCCTCGGCTATGGAATTCCCTCCCAAATGAAATTAGATCTGCCCCCTCCCTCCTGACCTTTAGGAAGCTAGTGAAAACCTGGCTGTGCAACAAAGCTTTTGTGGAATGATGTCTGAGACCGGCAATCGACTAATGGTACTGATCACAATATATGGACTGGACATACACACTGAGTTGGACATAATTTTATCCTGGCGAATGGCTTTTATGTAATTTTATGTAATTTATGTAATGTAATTGGTAACTTAATGTTGTGTATTATGTTTTAGATGTTTGAATCTTTGCTGTTAGCCGGTCTGAGTCCCTCTGCAGAGGTAGAGAAGATCGAGATATAAAAAGTTTTAAATAATAATAATAATAATAATAATAATAATAATAATAATTTTAAGGCATGAGGCTTATTTCAAAGAATACTTAAAAGGACTATTTTATGCCTCTGATCTCTGCCTGAATTCAAAGAGACTGATGTATATGTTGTTACCCTGTTTTGAACTTTTGAACTAAAGTAAAGATACTGTTACTTGTTACCCAAGCCTGAGTGACATTTTATTATATTGCAGGATATATCTTGGTTTAAATACTGTAGTAAAGCTTCTGCTTATTCTCATTTACCAACCCTCACAACATGGAACAAGCCATTCCATGAGGGGTTTGTGTAACAGCAAAGCAGTCACAGTGTGTA